GGACACGAAAAAAAAATATATGGGCGTGTAGAGCTTTTTCAGCCCTACACGCCCATATATATATATATTTTTTCCGACGTGAAAAAGTGCAAAAAAAAATGTTGCACCAAACTCGGTTGGTCGGCCGAGGCCGAACACGGCCGATTTGGCCGACAGTTGAGGCCGCGGCCGACTAGACCCCCCCGGCCGCGGCCGGCCGTGCAACATAGTCCAGGAGTCGTTGCCCCCCAAAAAGAAATCTTGATTGATTGATTGATTGACTTATTGATTGGTTGATTGACTGCTTGATTGATTAACTGATTGATTGATTGATTGATTGGGATGGGTTGATTGGTTGATTGATTGATTGATTGATTGATTGATTGATTGGTGCGGGAGGGTTTGGCCCTCCCCCCCTCCTACATACGCTGATGCACTTTTTTTAGGGTTTTACATTTTCTATTGATTGATTGATTGATTGATTGATTGGCTGGTTGATGGGTGGGAGAGGGGTCACCCCTCTCCCACACACACACATGACAGAATACACACACACACACATGACAAAATAAACATGCTAGCACACACACACACACACACACGGTGACACACCTACTCACACACACAACGGAAAAAATTTTTCTATATATATATTTTTTTCACAGTTTTTATTTTTTATTTTTTTAAATACCAAAAAATGAGCGGTTTACGAGGATTTCGTTCCTCGGCAGGCCTGACGTGCCCCTAATACAGATGTGCCCGCCCTACGTGAAGGCAGGCCTAACAACTCACGAGAGGTCCATGCTGTCAATTTCGTATTTGGGGTTCAGGCAGTTGTGTCACGTTAGTTACCCAGGACCCGAGCAGCAAAGACTTTCCACGGCCAACTAGGCCTTTTCTGGAAAATGCAGGCCCTGGGCAGGAATCACAGGAACATACACAGAGAGTTGGGAAGCCTTACTGAAAGAGGCTGAGCAGCTGAAGCAGAGGCACAGCCTCCTTGGGCCTACCAGAAGCTTCTGGCCCTTCTGGGCGCTGGCCTAGCCCAGCCAGGCCACAGGGCACGCAGACTCTTTCCATATAGGAAAGAGCTCGCTGCCTAGAGGGGCATTTGGGCACTTGCAAGCTAGCGGCAGCGCTGCTGGAGCGGAGTCTCACAGGCTGCTGCTTGTGCTAAGGCAAGGTGCTGCCCACGTGCGGTCGTGTACGAGGAAGGGCGCTGATGAGGGCAGCGCCATAGCCCAGTCTCGATAACTGCCTGGGGCTTGGGTGTACAGCAAGGCAGAGGGATGGTCTTCGGGTGTACAAGAGGAAGACGTGGGTGAAAGTCGAGGGAGAAGACCACTGGATGATGATGATGATGATGTGAGGGCACATACCTGGTATTGGCCATGGTCTGCATTGGTCGACATCGTCAAGTACTCCTTTGGCTGCTGACGTGAACAGTTGTATTGTCAATTAGTAGGCAGATAGTAGCTGTGTAGAGAGTAGGCTGGGCGCCGATCGCCAAGTAGGGGGAAGGGCCTGGATACTTATGTTGGTGATGGGGGGAGCCAGCCCTCATTGACAATCGGTTTTCAGTGTTACGATTCTCCATCGGTGTTATATTCGTGCAATGCTACTTTCTGGACACGGTGATACGTTCTGGCTTTCAATGTGATTGTGCAATCTGGATTTTGTCATCTCGCTGTTGCTCATTTTCCTTGCAATTTGGTATCAGAGCTGGTTCGAATTGCGCTTTACTGGTTGTTCGCAATAGCTGTTCGGTGCTTCGCACGAGGTGTGGGTCAATGATAAGGCTTGGGCGTTGGACGATAGGCAGCCCAGGGTCCTGTCGGCGCACCGGGAAGGCTATGTGGTGACATTGGGTTGTGCGCTGGATGATGGGAGCTCGCAGATGTGGCATTTAAGGCGACGTGGAACTGCATTTCGTTGTTGGTTGAGTCGAGGCAAAGACCAGTCATCATAAAGACCAGTTGTCGGTGAGAAATTTGTGGTTGGGGGCAACATTATGAGGTAAGTTGCTCTCTTCCTTATCTACCCTCTTCAGTATTTATTACCGTGAGGAAGTGAGTTATGTCTTGAGAGTCCTCTCATTGTGAGGTGTAACGAGCGCTCAACCTTGAGAGTTGACATTCTTCCTGGGCTGCAAGCGGGTAGGAGACGGGCAAAGCCTCTGAAGGGCTCTGGACGAAGCACTCGGGTCGCGGTCACCATGCCAACCCGCTGGGACTAGTACACATGCTTTGCCACAAGTCCTCGGTTCTGCTGTTGCGCAATAGAGGTCATGTTGGGCATGCCAGCCCTTTGACAGATCCTCACCAGACCGTCTATAAATATTTCTGGCGGGTTCCAGATTTGAACCCTGGCTGTGATCGCCGTCCTGTGTGCGATGTTAAATAATTCCTGAGGACCTTGAGGGCTGCTCTTAAACTGCCTCTTGATCAGCCAGATCAAACCGGAAGTAAGGCTCGTTGCATGCGAGGGTAAACAGAGTGCAGGGGCTGGCAGGCTTAGCATAGACTTGGGGCACAGGGTGGGCCGAATTGCATACATTCAAACACATTGCTCAACCAAATGCTCAGGGCGTTGACACAAAGAGACGACTCAAGAGGGATATGGGGGGAGGGGGGGATTCCAGCGATTGTTCGCAGTGCCACTGATTAGATAAATTGCCATCCAGCATACATCTCCACAGCTGCACTATTGTCATTCTTGATTATTTAGTTGTACGGACTTGGTGATAATTGAGAGACAGTTGCAGATAGGATAGTATCTTCCTCGCTGCATTGTGTTCTGTGTTTGAGTAATCTGAAAATAGAAATAGTGTTACCTGTAAGATCTGACATTAGTTGTTGTTGACCACTTGACTACTTCTCTCCAGGCTGACCGAAAGTAGTTGAATACCATACTCAATTGGGTGTCATGCTGACTCATTGCTGAGGTAGGATTCGGTGTGGATTTTAGTTAGAACTGCTCTTAGTCGTCCGATCATTTTCCAAGAATTAACTCCAGGAGAGGAAAGGAGGCTACAAAGGGAAGTCAGGGAAAGGGAGACATATCGGAGGTCTAGGGCAAAAACAGACAGTTTAGAGGCCTCAAAGGCTATCGCCTCGATGTCACAAGCCACGTCCCTGGCTTTTCGTCAAAGGTTAGTCAAAATGTTTCTCAGGTTTCCGTAAGTCAGACTTCTGGCTTGCAAGTCAGCCAGCATACTCAACTTACGACGGAGGATTATGAGATCCTCCAAGTGGAAACACTAAATGTCAGTTCATGATGAGTTGCAGCAGCAATTGAGAGAAACAACATAGAAAAGATAGAGAGCGATAACAAGAAAGGCTAAACTAGGAACTACGAGGCAGGAGCTAGGTAAGTTAGAAGCATTAGATGAGTTGACATTGCCGCATTGGATCGTGCAATACAAGCGTTGCGTCGCTCGCCTATGTATCACCCGCGGTCATGACCGCGGGCTTTTTTGCCGCATGCGGTCGGGACCCCYCTCGCGGCGGTCGACCCCCGTGGCCGACGGCGGGCACGAAACCCGGGGATTTTTTAAAAATAAAATAATAGGCAAAAAAAAAAAAAAAGATAAGGTTGTAGAGTTTGCAATTCCCTACAATCGTATATTTTTACTTTTATTTTTTGACTTTTTTTTAATTTAAAAAAAAATGAAAAACAGAAATCCCTTTGGCAAAAGTTCTTCACTTTATTCTTTTAGTAAGAAAAATAAAGGATTTTGTTTGATTTTTATCTCAAATGTGGTAACGAATTTTGATATGACCCCAAGGCTAAAGTTGTTCAGTTCATTTTTTGGCATAACATATATGTTTTTCAGATTTTTCTGAATTCCTTTTGTTTTTCATAACCGCGGACTGCGCCCTCGCGGCCGAGACCACAGTTCGCGGTCGTGCCCGCGGCGACTGTGACCGCGGGGGATTCATAGTCGCTCGCTGCTATGCGTGGCAGAAACACAGGTTGTTCAGCCGGAAGTGTTGGCTCAACTAGTGGTCAGTCAAGACCGGATTCTGGTTGCACTGCAGGGTCCTCGGCCAATGATGAGGCAACCTCAGTACTCTGCAGC